GCTAACACGGTGAAACCCCATCTCTACTAAAAAAATACAAAAAACTAGCCGGGCGAGGTGGCGGGCGCCTGTAGTCCCAGCTACTCGGGAGGCTGAGGCAGGAGAATGGCGTAAACCCGGGAGGTGGAGCTTGCAGTGAGCTGAGATCCGGCCACTGCACTCCAGCCTGGGTGATAGAGCGAGACTCCGTCTCAAAAAAAAAAAAACAAAAAAAAAAACCAAAATATTTTAGAGAATATGTACCTATCAAATTATGTAACCTATTACATATAAGTAAATGAGCTTAGATGGTTGGGCATGGTGGCTCACGTCTATAATCCCAGCACTTTGGGAAGCTGAGGCAGGAGGATTGTTTGAGCCCAGGAGTTCAAGACCAGCCTGGGCAACATGGTGAAATCTCATCTCTATCTTTTTTTTTTTTTTTTTTTTTGAGACAGAGTCTCGCTTTATTGTTCAGGCTGGAGTGCAGTGGTGTTATCGTGGCTCACTGCAACCTCCACCTTCTGGGTTCAGGCAATTCTCCTGTCTCAGCCTCCTGAGTAGCTGGGATTATGGCACCCACCAACACACCCGGCTATTTTTTTTGTATTTTTAGCAGAGACACGGTTTCACCATCTTGGCCAGGCTGCTCCTGAACTCCTGACTTCAAGTGATCCACCTGCCTTGGCCTCCCAAAGTGCGGGATTTCAGGTGTGAGCCACCATGCCCGGCCATCTCATCTCCATTAATAGCAACAACAAAAAAATTAATGAGTTTAGATCTTCAAATAATACTTGTCAAATTGAGTAATTGAGTACAATATGTTAACCATACATAGTTTTATGTTTTATTTTATTATTTATTTATTTATTTAGATAGGGTCTCACTGTCATCCAGGCTAGAGTGCAGTGGCATGATCCTAGCTCACTGCAGCCTTGAACTCCTGGGCTCAGGGGATCCTCCTGCCTCCTGAGTACCTGGGAAAATCTATTTTTAAAAGCAGGTTCCTCATGGATCTCTACTTAGAGAGTTCACAGTTTTTAGCTTTATGTGAATTGCTGCATAAACATGAAATAAATTCAATTGTATTTTCACAAAAGTATTCCATAGCCTGGGTGCGGTGGCTCATTCCTATCATCCCAGCACCTTGGGAGGCGAGGCCAAAGCGGGTGGATTGCTTGAGCCCAGAAGTTTAAGACCAGCCTGGGCAACATAGCAAAACCCTGTCTCTACAAAAATACAAAATTAGCTGGGCATAGTGGGGTGCACCTGTGGTCCCAGCTACTTGGGAGGCTGAGGTGGGAGGATAGCGTAAGCCACTGCACTCTAGCCTGGGTGATGGAGTGAGACCTTGTCTCAAAAAAAAGTATTCTCTAATTTTATAAAATTATGTTTTTATATTTTTCAGGATTAATTTTTCCTGTATTGGTTTCTTATGGTGCATGTTATGGCTTCCCCTGCTCCCCAGAGAACATCTCTTTGTCCACAGCTTCCCACAGAGGAAGCAGGCAGATGTGACCAAGTCTGTCCCACATAACCAAGCCAGGCACAGCTGAGAGGACCAGTGGTGTGTGCTGGACCCAAGGGTAACCAATCCACAGGCTGATTCAACCTAAGAGAAGGGCTGAATTATGGCATGGGAGAGAATCAGTCAGCTGGCGGTGGGTGTATAAGTGAAAATATCCACAAAAAGAAGCAGAGAAAGTGTAGAAGTGACCGCGGGAGACAGCAAGCCTCTCCCAGTTCCTGACTGTTTACTCTCCATCAGGCCAGCCGAGAGGCTGTACTGTGTATCCTGAGGAAGTTTTGTTTCCCTGTCATATGTAACTTTAAAGTAAAACTCCAGGCTGGGCGTGGTGGCTCATGCCTGTAATCCCAGCACTTTGGGATGCTGAGGTGGGCGGATCATGAAGTCAAGAGATCAAGACCATCCTGGCCAACATGGTAAAACTCTGTCTTTACTAAAAATACAAAAATTAGCTGGGTGTGGTGGCATGCACCTGTAGTCCCAGCTACTCAGGAGGCTGAGGCAGGAGAATCGCTTGAACCCGGGAGATGGAGGTTGCAGTGAGATGAGATCATGCCACTGCACTCCAGCCTGGCTGACAGAGTGAGACTCCGTCTCAAAAAAACAAAACAAAACAAACTTCATTCCTGAAACAGCTTGAATGAGACACTTGCAACCTATAACCCCCCAAATCTAACTAATATGGAGTCTAAAGTTAGATAAAATTGTGGTGTAAATTTCAGAGGCAGTTTGCTAAAAAGAGGTTCAATGTTAACCTTCATCAATTTTAGAAAAAAACATTTTGGGAGACAACATTAGGCCCTTGTATGTGGCTTCAGTGGGTTTTTAAAAATTTGTTGACCTACTCTACAGAAACATCTCCTGCTTGCAAAACAAAACAAAATTATGTTGAAGGTATCATTTTTACGATTATTAGGATAAACACCAGGAGGATCTGTTATAATAGTGTTCTTTCAGAACAGGTGGAAGTTTGCTGACTTGTTTCTACCCCTCAAATTAGGGTCTTCATGTGGATGCCACCTAATCTATAGACCAAAGCATTCCTTAATGCTTAAACATTTTTTCTCCGTTTTTCATTATCAATAAGGGCAGTAGGTCAAACGTTTTGGTCATTTACCTAGGTCCTGGGTTGTCCTGATGATATTGCTTATGGCACAGATTTTGAAAAAGAGCAGCTAATTTTAGTGCAGCAGAAAAATATATGAAAGTGTTGGAACCGGTTGGGCATGGTGGCTCATGCCTGTAATCCTAGGACTTTGGGATGCTGAGGTGGGTGGATCACTTGAGGTCAGGGGTTCAAGACCAGCCTGGCCAACATGGTGAAACCCCATCTCTACTGGAAAAAAAAAAAAAAGTTAGCTGGGTGTGGTGGTGGGCGCATGTAGTCCCAGCTACTCAGGAGGCTGAGGCAGGAAAATCACTTAAACCCAGGAGGCAGGAGGCGGAGGTTGCAGTGAGCCGAGATCACACCACTGAACTCCATCCTGGGTGACAGAGCAAGACTCCTCTCAGGAAAAAAAAAAAAAAAAAAAGAAAACGTTGGAACATTGTGTAGAGATGAGCACTAGGTAGGGGTTTGGAAACCTGGATTCTGGTCTTGATTCTAGTGCTTAACAAGCCATGTTATATGGGGCAAGTCCCTTCTCTCTATACGTAAAAACAAAGGAACTGTGTTCCTGAAATTCTCTGCATTGTGTGATCTTCCACAACAAAAATACAAGCTCTGCTAAAGCAGTGTTGTATGCCTTGTCTGGGACTGAGTCCTAGAATGGTTCCTGGTACCTTGCAGATCTCAGGAAATATTTATTGCTATTGAACAACTCATGCTGTCCATTGGCCATAAAAAAGGCTCTCTTGCATGTATAAAGCCATAGTTATTTTTCAAAAGGCTTTCAGTTAGCAGGCACTCAACACTTATGGGTCTGAAATATTTCATTGGTTCTCAAGGGGAACACACCTTACTTGCTCATACAGAAATATGGGCATGGAGGAGCCTAGTGGATGGGGAAGAAGACAGGCCTAGGAGTCAGAAAATCTGGCTCACCACTAATGACTGTGTGGCTTTGGGTAAGTCATTCTGTTCTCCGAAGTTCTGTTCTCTCATCTGCAAGGTGGGAGGGCTGACTCAGACCCCAGGACCCTTCTGGAGGCACACCTCTGACTCTGGTCCTCTTATTCTTGTAATAGATAACAAACGAGTATTAAAGGCAGATGAAAGGATTGAGAAGAATGTGGGGCTGATGAGAAACAAAGGCAAGACAATTAGTGCAGAGGCACCAGCTCATTAGAGACATCAAGACAGGCAGACTATGCTTTTTATGTTCACCACGTAAAATCCTTTATGAGCATCTGCTAGGGTGGCTCTTCCTTTGCTGTTACTGGCTCAGCAAACAGTTCGTGCCCTCAGCCATGTCTGCTGCCCAAGTAGCTGTCACAGGGAGGTAGCACCAGGACAGGAAGCCTGCCAGCTTGCAAGTCCATGGCAATGTCTGTGTTCATTAAACAGCCCAATAGTGGTGACCCTGAGGATTCGGCTTTAACTTTTGTAGACAATTCTGGGCCTGTCGTATTTTGAGTTCCTTTACAAAAAAATTACTGGATACCTCACACTCGTTAGGATGACCACTGTAAATCAGAAACAGAAACACTCCAGGAAATAACAAATGTTGGTGAGGATGTGGAGAACGTGGAACTCTGTGCATTGTTGATGAGAGTGTAAAATGCTGTAGCCACTGTGGAAACAGTGTGGAAGTTCCTCAAAAAATTAAAAATAGAATTATCATATGATCCAGCAATCCCTCTTCTGGATATACACCAAAATAACTGAAAGCAGGATTTCAAAGAGATTTTTGCACATCTATGTTCATTGCAGCACTATTCACAATAGCCAAGAGGTGAAAGCAATCCCAAATGTCCACTGACAGATAAATAGATAAAGAAAAGGTGGTATAGACATACAATGGAATATTGTTCAACCCTAGAAAAGGAGATCCTGTGACATGTTACAACATGTGACATGGACCTTGAGGACATTATGCTAGGAAAGACAAGCCAGTCACAAAAAGACAAATACTGTATGATTCTATGACATAAGGTATCTAAGTAGTCAAACTCACAGAAACCAGAAGTAGAATGGTGGCTGCCAGGGGCTGGAGGGAGCTGTTCGATGGATTGAGAATCTCAGTTTTGCAAGATGAAAAAGCTCTAGAGAATTCACAACAGTGTGAATATGATTAACACTACTGAACTGTACACTTAAACATGGCTGAGATGGTGAAGTTTATGTTCTGTGTTTTTTAGCACAATTTAAAAATTGACCAGACACGTAACCCAGTAGTAAAGCTGCTACTAACCTCCTTGTCACATTAGAATACCCTTAATTTCTCCAGACAGGGTCTTTTAGTTCTGTGAATAAGAGGCACCAATTCTTTCTAGTGTTGCTAAGAAAGGGAATTTTGCAGTTGCACCAATGAAGAAAGAGACACAGTCAAGGTAGGGTGGCCAGCAAGATTGTAATTATGCTCAAAAGGGTGGTCTTCTGGTGGAGGGTCCACGTGGATGGAGGGCTTAGGAAACAGAAGAGGGGATGTTCTGACTCTTCATTGGCAGCGTGACTCTGTGGGCCCTGGTGGCCTATCAGGGCTATACTACCCAGGATGGTCGGCTGGGTTTTCTCTACTCGTGTTTCCTGTAGATTTATACTCCTGCATCTTGCTGGGGGCTTAGTTTGGCCCGTGGGATGAAACACTCTTGTGTGGGATCAACAGTCTGGAAAGGAAGAAATGCCATCATCAACTTCCTGACCAACAAAAGAAAAGATACTCTCCAAAGTTATATTTTTGTTTTTGGAGACAGAGTCTCGCTCTGTCACCCAGGCTGGAGTGCAGTAGTGCGATCTGGGCTCACTTCAATCTCTGCCTCACAGGTTCAAGCAGTTCTCCTGCTTCAGCCTTCTGAGTAACTGGAATTACAGGCATGCACCACCATGCCCAGATAATTTTGTATTTTTAGTAGAGATGGGGTTCCACCATGTTGGCCAGGCTGGTCTTGAACACCTGACCTCAAGTGATCCACCCACTTCAGCCTCCCGAAGTGCTGGGATTACAGGCATGAACCACTGTGCCCAGCCCTTAAGTCATGTTTAAAGTATTATTATCTCACCTTCATTTAATTGTTTGTCAACAACAAAAGAAGAAACATACTGAGCCTACCTGTACCAGGCTATCCCTCAGCCACGAACAAGAATCTTTTTGCAAGCAAGGTTCTTTTTTTTTTTTTTTTTGAGACGGAGTCTTGCTCTGTCGCCCAGGCTAGAGTGCAGTGGCGTGATCTCTGCTCACTGCAAGCTCCGCCTCCCGGGTTCACGCCATTCTCCTGCCTCAGCCTCCCGAGTAGCTGGGACTACAGGCGCCTGCCACCTCGCCCGGCTAAGTTTTTGTATTTTTAGTAGAGACGGGGTTTCACTGTGTTACCCAGGATGGTCTCGATCTCCTGACCTCGTGATCCGCCCGTCTCGGCCTCCCAAAGTGCTGGGATTACAGGCTTGAGCCACCGCGCCCGGCCAGCAAGGTTCTTGAATAGCTGATCACTGGACATTGAAATGAATCAAGAAACTCTTGGAGGGATAATAAAGATGTTTTCATTATGTAAATACCCTCCTGAGGGTTGATTAAAGCGCATGATACAGCTATGGCCTGGTCCATGTGCCATTCTAGGAAAAGACAAATTCTCAGATAACATACCAGAGGGATTAGCTTAGTTAGTGGCCTCGTAAATTAATTGAAAAAAATGATTTTATTTACTTTTGATCCCTGTAATGTAAGAATTGTGTCCCAGTGTGATATTTCTGGCTGTTTAGGTTTGTATGTCTTCAAGTCTTCACAGTCCCAATGTGAATTACCCCCGAACTACTCAGCAGTGCTCCCTCTGTTTTTGCCTGAAAGGATTAAAATTTGTTCATCCATCTGGGCATCCAGATGATGGTGACAGACCCTGCCCAGTTCTTAGGGCAGCCTGGGCTGCTGGAGCTAGACAGGGACTCAGAGAGGCAGTCAGTGGGGATCAGGTGATAGGTTCAGACAACTGCTACTAAAAGCAGACCCCGCACTCAGACATATTTACAATCCTGTATTGTCCCCGAGGCAAAATTCGGTGAGCCTGCTGCTCTTCACCTTCACACAAAAACTTCAAGCTGCCCTTTCTTTCCAGACACACGCACTTGCATCAGAATGCTATACTGTTGCTGGCGATGAAGACTGGGAAGGTTTGGGTGAAGGCTGTCTTGCGCCACCTGCTCTGGCTTAAATCTGGGTGGCTCAAGCTCCACATGCCTGTAGGGATGTTCCTGCCCTGCCTCTCCTCTCTCAGGTCAGTAAAGCCATTAGAAATGAAGCCTGAGGCTGTCCTAAGGAAGGAGTGCTTGCTAGGTCCCTCCTGGGTGAATGTAGGCGAGTCCATTTACCTGCGGCTGAATGGGAGTACCAAATGAAGTTAATGCTACATCCTCCTCAGCTCCATCACTGTCTCGGGCTGAAAGCCAAAGGAGGGAAGGGCTGCGTTAGTGTCCAAGAGTCAATGGGAAACAGCACATGAGGACTACAGGAAAACCCCACGGCTTGCAAACAGGCTCCTCACTCTTTAAAAAGGAATTCTGAGGCCGGGTACGGCGGCTCACACCTGTAATCCCAGCACTTTGGGAGGCCAAGACGGGCAGATCACTTGAGGTCAGGAGTTCGAGACTAACCTGGCCAACGTGGTGAAACCCTATCTCTACTAAAAATACAAAAATTAGCCCAGCGTGGTGGTGGGCGCCTGTAATCCCAGCAACTTGGGAGGCTGAGGCCAGAGAATTGCTTGAACCCGGGAGGTGGAGGTTGTAGTGAGCTGAGATCACACTGCTGCACTCCAGCCTGGGCAACACAGCGAGACTAAATAAATAAATAAGAGGAATTCTCAGTGGTGGCCGTTATTGAAAAAGTTTATGATTTAAAGAAGTGTATTTAAAGTTGATGTGGAAGGCATGGGTAGCGTGTGGGTGTTTAGGAGAAGCACACTGGTGTCAGAAGCTCACTAGCTCCGAGTCAGTTTCTGCTCTTTCAGTATTACCTGTGTGACCTTGGGCAGCTCACTCTTTTCAACAGTCCCTTTAGGCTTGATTCTCTACAAACTTGAATTCAATATTTCAAAAAAATTTTTATTTTGCCCAGGCTGGTCTTAAATACCTGGCCTCAAACCTCCCACCTGGGCCTCCCAAAGTGCTGGGATTACAGGTCTGAGCCACCACATCTGGCCTGAATTCAATTTTTAAAATTGGACATAATAAAAGAGATCACTTGAGACAACTTTATATTGTTGTAGGATCATCACAGACATAGGTATTTGTTTAATGGCTGTCTCCTCAACCAGCCTGTAAGCTCTGTGAAGACAGGAGCTGTGCCTGTCTCTAAGAGCCGGCACTTGCTGGATACCTAGTTGTTTTTTGATGACCACAGACATAACTGTGTTAGGAGGGTTCACACTTAGGGGTTTCATGTTGAGTGGATGGACCCTGGAGAAGGACTGCTTGGCTCTCTCACTTGTGTTCTTTAACCTTTTTTGCCTTTTTTTGGCTTTGTTTCCTGATGGAACTAAAGAAGAATAATGACAGTCATAACAGTAAGTCTATCTCACAGGATTGTTTTGAAGATTCTATAAAAATGTTATATAAAGTCCTTGGAACAGGGTATGCTACATAGAAAACACTCATGAGCTATCCTTTGTATATGATTATTGGTGGTGGTGCTGGTGCTGCAGTTATAACAGATGCTCTGACATCCTCTTCCTAGTGGCTTTTTATTTATTTTTTCAAGGGGCTGATGCTGTGATACATGAAATGCTTATCTTTCCTTCATGGCAGAATTAACTGAATCCTTGGCTCGACTTCATTCCTTGTGTCCTAACACAAGGCTCCTTCACACTCAGTCTCTTGGGAACCAACTTTCATCCAACATTCTCATCAAACCGGATCATCAGTTAGAAAAGCCTAATTCGGCCGGGCGCGGTGGCTCAAGCCTGTAATCTCAGCACTTTGGGAGGCCGAGGCAGGTGGATCACGAGGTCAGGAGATCGAGACCATCCTGGCTAACACGGTGAAACCCCGTGTCTACTAAAAATACAAAAAAACTAGCCGAGCGAGGTGGCGGGCGCCTGTAGTCCCAGCTACTCGGGAGGCTGAGGCAGGAGAATGGCGTGAACCCGGGAGGCGGAGCTTGCAGTGAGCTGAGATCCGGCCACTGCACTCTAGCCTGGGCGACAGAGCGAGACTCCATCTCAAAAAAAAAAAAAGAAAAAAAAAAAGAAAAAAAAAAAAAGAAAAGCCTAATTCTTCCAGCTCTAGCTATAGTTCATGAGTTTACCAAAAGGCCAAGTGTTTTTTTTATACCAAACCTGCACCACTGTGTGATAGGAAGTCTGAAGTGAGTAAGACCTTCCATTTATCTGAGGAGGAGGCAGGGAGGGACGTGATGAGCAGCATTTAAAGATGAGGAAACGGAGGCTCCTAGGGCTTGAGGACCTTGGTTTAGTCTCAAGGTTGGTAAGAAGCAGAGTCTCAGAGCCTGGGCACATGAGGCCCGGTTCTGCACTCTTTCCACTGCCCTTTGCTGCCCAATGATGCTCCCACTCCCTGAATTTGTTTTTTTAAATTTAAATTTAATTTTTTTTAAGAGTGTGTAGTGGTGCAATCATAGCTTACTGCAACCTTGAACTCCTGGACTCAAGTGACCCTCCCATCTCACAGTCTCCTGAGTACCTAGGACCACAGGTGTGTGCCACTATATCCAGCTAAGCTCTCTGAATCTTTATGAATGTCATCATCCTTGACTTATCTGTCCTCAGACCAAACAAATCCTGCCTATGACCCCACTGCCTTCTTCCCTGCTTTAAGCTAGTTCTCTCTCTGTGGCCTGTAACTTGAGGGTGACAAAAAAGAACTTCCCATGAAAGAACAAATAAAAATGACACCACCTGGGACCATTTAAGTTGGATTTCCCCTGGTAAGGTGAGTGGGCCTTGAAGAAAAAAATGTTGAGAATTGTCAAAAAGGGCTATATTCAGCAGAAGTTGGAGTTTGCTAGGGAAACAACCAGAAGGGCTTATGTTTGCAGGAACAGTGTTCTCTTGGCTCATCTCGTTTTATACTCGTTGACCCATTTTTACATTATGCACACTCACTGATTATCTAATGCCTTCAAAAAGAATCATATGAGGTTTGTCTGTAAGCATCCAAACACGGGATGGAAAAATGCCCACATTAATGTGACTCCTTCCTTCTTTCCTTCTTTCTTTCCTTCCTTCCTTCCTTCTTTTCTTTTCTTTTTTTCTTTTCTTTTCTTTCTTTTTTTTAGATGGAGTTTTGTTCTCATTGCCCAGGCTGGAGTGCAATGCATGATCTCAACTCACTGCAACCACCACCTCCTGGGTTCAAGTGATTCTCCTGCCTCAGCCTCCCAAGTAGCTGGAATTACAGGTGCCCAAGACCATGCCCAGCTAATTTTTTGTATTTTTAGTACAGACAGGGTTTCACCATGTTGGCTAGGCCGATCTTGAACTCCTGACCTCAGGTGATCCACCCTCCTCGGCCTCCCAAAATGTTGGGATCACAGGCGTGAGCCACTGCGCCTGGCTAACACTTTCAAATACAGATGGGTCTTAGTGTTAGCAAATATGATATAACGATATTCTAGTTAGTCTAAAACAGATAAGGCAGGCAATAATTAGAAGTTTTCCACTCATAAAACAATTCATAGCTGATATTCTACTCTATTTAAGATTTCTGCTCTTTATATCACATTTAAGATTCCTCATTTAAAAGACCTAGTGATTTTATTCTAATTATTTATTTTGGAGGTTACTTATCATTTATTCAGGAAGAGAAATATTCCAAAATTTACCAACTCCAAATTAAATATAAAACAAGTATTATATTCATCAACTAATTAATGAAGAATATGTTAAAAAATAACATAATCCCAGGAGCATGTAAATGGAAAGTAGTTAAACATAAAAATAGTTTCAGAATTATGTCTCTATTTTATTTTGCATTTTAATTGCTTCATTTCTTATACACAAATTCTTTACCCTAATCTTTTTGTTGCAGTTTCCTGTACCTAACAAGATGCTGAGCGTGTTAAATTTCAATCAAATGCTGTGAGAAGATGTATCTATATTTTTGGCTTAAGATTTTAGTTGAGGCCAACTGATTTTTAAAAGTCCAATCAGTATTCAGCTTCTCAGGGACACCCTTATAACACAGAGCAAATAATATTTATACCCATTTTTCTGGTGTCCTACAGTAATACGCCTGATTGCATTTTCATTCTCTATCCAGATGTTTTTGTATCTTAAAATTAAGTCCATAATCCACTTCAGAGGAATAAAGCCTAATCTTCTTTAGAAAGACTTCCAGGGAAATGAAATTCTTAATCCCCTTTGCTGATCTGTTTCTGTCTACCGACTCTTATTTTCGTATTTAATCTAAATCTCTCATGCCTCCGCATCCATTTCCACCCACTATCTTTAGTTGGAGATGGAAAACAATAAGACAACTCCCTCTTGGGGACAGGTCTTCACACTTGTGAAACTTTCTTTCTTTCTTTCTTTCTTTCTTTCTTTCTTTCTTTCTTTCTTTCTTTCTTTCTTTCTTTCTTTCTTTCTTTCCTTCCTTCCTTCCTTCCTTCCTTCCTTCCTTCCTTCCTTCCTTCCTTCCTTCCTTCCTTCCTTCCTTTCTTCCTTTCTTTCTTTCTTTCTTTCTTTCTTTCTTTCTTTCTTTCTTTCTTTCTTTCTTTCTTTCTTTCTTTCTTTCTTTCTTTCTTTCTTTCTTTCTTTCTTTCTTTCTTTCTTTCTTTCTTTCTGAGACAGAGCCTTGCTCTGTTGCCCACGCTGGAGAGCAGTGGTGCGATCTCGGCTCACTGCAACCTCCGCCTCCCAGGTTCAAGCAATTCTCCTGCCTCAGCCTCTTGAGTAGCTGGGATTACAGGCATGTGCCACCATGCCCAACTAATTCTGGTATTTCTAAAAGAGATGGGGTTTTACCACGTTGGACAGGCTAGTCTCTAACTCCTGACCTCAGGTGATCCGTCTGCATTGGCCTCCCAAAATGCTGGGATTGCAGGTGTGAGCCACTGAGCCTGGCCATACTTGTGAAATTTCCAGCTAGGGACCTCTTGTCCTACTCTTCTTTTAGCTGAATAATTCTGGTCTCATAACCCAGTGGTAAATTAAATAATTATGTGACTGGAATCACAGCTACAAACAGCATTAGTCAGAAGCGTCACATCACAAATGCATGCCTCATGGACTTGAACAAAATGTGTTTTGGGACAGAATTTTGAGAGAGAGCTTGTATAGTCTGGTAAAGCACATAAAGCTTAAGAATGACCATCTCATTCTCACTGTCTTCACCTGTCCACACAGGTCTGATGTTATAACCCTTTAATCATCTTTGTGGGGTTCTGCCGAGCCTCCCCAAGTTTCCCACACTTCTCATTAGTGGATCAGTGGGTATCCTTGCTAGAGACTGACTGACGCCGGGTACAATGGCACGGTTGTTCTTGCTGACCACACATCTGTTTATACAGTACCGTGATTGTTTCCTGAGCAAACAAAAGCAAAGACAGTGGTAAGTTGTTTCCCTACTATCAGCTTATGACCCACCGTAACACTTCAGACGTTTCAAGTTATTGTTATTATACTTCTCTAGCTCTTACCTATTTTATATCTATTTGTGTGTTTTTCCTAGCTAGTTGGAATCCTGCACTTTTAATTGAGTTTTAATCGTTCCTTGAAATTTTGATATTTGTACTTCTTCTGGGTGACCTAAATTCTGATTTTACTTTCTGAGTTTAAGCTTCTGGTTATTTTGCCCAATCTTGGAGAGCAATTCCTTCCTTCCTTCCTTCCTTCCTTCTTTCCTTCCTTCCTTCCTTCCTTCCTTCCTTCCTTCCTTCCTTCCTTCCTTCCTTCCTTCCTTCCTTCCTTCCTTGTCTTTCCTTTCTTCCTTCCTTCTTTTTCTTTCCTTTCTTCCCTCCTTCCCTCCCTCTCCCCCTCTCCCTCCCTCCCTCTCCCCTTCTCCCTCCCTCTCCCCCTCCCTCCCTTCCTTCCTTCTTTCTTTCTTTTTCTTTTTAAATTGAGACAGGCTCTCACTCTGTCACCCAGGCTGTAGTGCAGTGCTGCAATCATGGCTCCCTGCAGCCTCATCCTCCCAGGCTCGAGTGATCTTCCCACCTCAGCCTCTTGAGTAGCTGGGACCACAGGCCTGTGCCACCATGCCCAGCTAATTTTTTGTAGAGACGGGGTTTCGCCATGTTGCCCAGGCTGGTCTTAAACTCCTGAGCTGAACCGATCCACCCGCCTCCCAAAGTGCTGGGATTACAGGTGCGAGCCACAGAGCCCAGCCAATCAATATGTTCTTTACACACTATTGATTTTTTTTTCCACAAAATTTCAAATTACATTGATGATGACTATCATTGGCAGACTATTTCCTGCTCAGAAATAGATTTTCTAACCTTGCTTGAGTAATAGGATACTCTTGGCCAAACCAGGAACCATCGTATTTTAGCAAGCCCTTGCTCTTCAACTGAGATATTCCTTTGAACCCTTTCAACTCTTGCCTGGTATTTTGTGGGGTATGGAATATTGATCATTACAAAGCTCAATGTATTTGGGTTTATTGTGAAACTCTAGGAATTTTTTTTGCTCTGACTTTTGTTTCCTGGAAACACACAGCAGCAACAAAAACAAACACAGAAAGTTTTATCTTCTAGTAAGAACTATGAGAAGTATTTTCAGGAAAGATTGACTCTGCAATTCTGCCACAAAACTCAGTGATGTGATTATGCATCACCAACAAGCAATGAAAAACTTTTATGGGAAAAAAATGTGTAGTGTCAATTTCCAACTTTTGGTCAACTGAGCTGAAAAGAATTAATGGATGTATTTATCTGAACAGGATTTAATTTGAATGAGCAATTAGCCATAGATTACAGCTCAGAAAAAGTGTGTGTACTTAAAAGGAAGCTTATGTGAATTTTTTTTGAGCCTAGTGAACATTATGTGTGCTGTACAATATATAAAATAACATCATCGTTACACATTAGAAATAAAATGTGAGAAACCAGATGCCTATTAAGACACAAAAATTGATGTAAAACTATGATGTTGGGTTTTGGATAATAGCCCAGATGTTTCAGAAAAGGAATTAATGAATTTTGACATATTTCCAGATAATTGAAATTAGCCACTATTTCCCCCAGGTTGTTGGGATCCAAGCATCCTTGTTGCCATGGATAATATATTTTATTCCTTAACAAAGTGTAGTCAGGTGGCTTGAATAAAAATATGACTCAGAAATTATTATGAAAATGTCACATAAGCAAGTTACTTTCTTTCTCCTAATGATCACACATCTGAGTCTTTACTCAGAATTAGGATATAATGACTCTTCCTCTCGTTTTTTGTAAGCTTTGAAGGATTTTAAACAATAAATAGTTTGAAAAGCTGAAATCCAGAAGTGTTTGGGTTTTATGACTTTAATGAAGTAGTGAGTCCTATGAATCAGTTTAAGATTATGTTTGGGCAAATTAGCTTTGAGACAAATTTTTAAAATGTCCATCACTGCTGCCAGGATTGGCTTTTGCACTTGAAGGCCAACACATCTGGACTTAACATTAGATGTCACGCAAAATCGCATGGTTCAGTCCTAAATTAGGGCTGGTGAACTGATTTTTTTTTTTTTTTTTTAGACGGAGTCTCGCTCTGTCGCCCAGGCTGGAGTGCAGTGGCCGGATCTCAGCTCACTGCAAGCTCCGCCTCCCGGGTTTACGCCATTCTCCTGCCTCAGCCTCTCGAGTAGCTGGGACTACAGGCGCCCGCCACCTCGCCCGGCTAGTTTTTTGTATTTTTTAGTAGAGACGGGGTTTCACCGTGTTAGCCAGGATGGTCTCGATCTCCTGACCTCGTGATCCGCCGGTCTCGGCCTCCCAAAGTGCTGGGATTACAGGCATGAGCCACCGCGCCCGGCCTGGTTAACTAATTTTATAGTGGATGCCTTTCTTTAGCCAGTGTGAACGTTCAGAGTCATGCCCTCTTTCTTTGGGGCCTTTGATTCATGTATGTCTTGGTCTCTCCCCATAAAGCTCTATGCTTTGGAAGAACTCATTTTTCATAAAAATTTAACCTTGATTCTGGGAGTTTGCATTTCCATGCTTGAACTATGAAGCCACCCACCCCATATCTGACCATTTTCTTTCAGTTTCCTCTTGGCTCATCCTACTGCATGATTTCTCTCCTGCTTTTCCTGTAGGAGCACCTCCCTGCTCCCTGAATCCCCCAGAAAAGTACCTCTGGAGAGCTCCTGGTTCTCCACTTGAAAGCTGCGTTGGTAGGCTGTGACGGGGCAGGCATGGCCTTGTGAAGGGCACTCCTGCCTACACGATCTGTAGAGAATGCAGAGCTCAGGGACAATGTACAGCAGCAGGAAAACCCATGCGTTGGTGACCAGGGCAATGCAGACGACCGGGTCGTCCCACTGGGGCTGTCGCTGGAACTGCGGGTTGCCTCTCAGGAGCATGGAGATCCACACCACCCAGATGATGATGGAGAAGAGTACAGTGATAAAGATGAGTCTTCCATGCTGCTTCCAGTTCTCACACGGGCCACAGAAGGTGGCTTTGGAGACGAAGAATGTGAGGGCCATCAGGAAGAGGACATAGACTAGGAGTACAACAAAGTCCACATTGAGCTGGTAGGGTGTCATGTGCACAAACATCATACCTCTGGTCATGATGAGAGTCACATACTCAATGGCAATAATCACCTGCAACAGACTGCAACCAATAGCAATGCACAGAATTGTCGTCCAGGAGAAGGAGACGCGACCCCGAACCAGCTTCACTAGGTTGGAGGCATGGGCTAAGAGGCACGAGAAACAGAGAGCAAAGAGAACCCCGAAGAGAAAGTAGCGTACGGGGGCAGTTTGCTGATTGAGCTGGATGATGAAGGCAAAAGCGAGTCCAAAGAGCCCCAGCACACTCAAGAGGAAGAGGAGCTGGGTGGGGAGGACGTTCCACTGGCTGCAGTCTTGGATCTTTCGCATGAGGAAGAGAAATGCTAAGAGTAGCAGAATTGTGACCACGATGCCAAGTATTGCCAGGGACTCCAGAATGATGCCCCATGGCCCCTCAGAGTCACAGGGAAGAAAATAGTCTCCAGTGGACTCGATGCAGTCCTTGTACATGGTGACTTATGGGTGTAGGCCTCACCAGAATGTTTTTCTGATGTCCTGCAGAAAAAGGATGAGACAAAAATGACAACTCTGCATCTCTTAGGTCGGTGCAAAAGTAATTGCAGTTTTTGCTATTAAAAGTAATGGCAAGAAGGCTGGGCGCAGTGGCTCACTCCTGTTATCCCAGCACTTTGGAAGGCTGAGGTGGGTGGATCACGAGGTCAGCAGTTCGAGACCAGCCTAGCCAACATGGTGAAACCCCGTCTCTACTAAAAATACAAAAATTAGCCAGGTGTGGTGGTGCACACTTGTAATCTCAGCTACTCAGGAAGCTGAGGCAGGAGAATCGCTTGAACCCAGGACAGAGATCGCCCCACTGCACTCCAGCCTGGGTGACAGAGTGAGACTCTGTCTCAAAAAACGAAAAACAAGGCAGGGTATAGTGGCTCATGCTTGTAATCTTAGCACTTTAGGAGGTCGAGATGGGTGGATCACTTGAAGTCAGGAGTTTAAGACCAGCCTGGCCAACGTGGTGAAACCCCATCTCTACTAAAAATACAAAAAAAATTAGCCGGGCATGATGGCATGCGCCTTGTAGTCCCAGTTACTTGGGAGGCTGAGGCAGGAGAATCGCTTGAACCCGGGAGGCAGAGGTTGCAGTGAGCCAAGATCGCACCACTGCACTCCAGCCTGGGCGACAGAGTCTGAAAACAAAAACCAAAAACCAAAAAACACATAAAAAAAGTAATGGCAAGAACCGCAACTACTTTTGCACCAACCTAATACCTACAAGAATGCCTATAGGGTGGTCCATGAGGGCACTCTAACATCTGTCATTCTGAAATGAAGACACCTGGGCATACGAAATAAATGTCTTTACCAAAATTGTTCCTAGGACACTGTTGAGAGCCTGAGTTACATTTTGTTTGATTCCTGATACTTATCTAAATGCTAAGTTTCCCCAGGGGAAGAAAATTCAAAGATATATGCAAACATAGTCTAAGGGGATGGGAAATGCCATCACACATATTACCCCAAATGTATAACAGTTTTATATAGGATGTCAGTAAAGGAAATGAGAAAGGCAACCTAAACCCCTCAAAACGATCTTGGCTTCATCCTGCTGGGAAAAGCTGAACAGATTCACTTGATAATATGTCTATTTGTGTATACTAATTTACAAGGCTTTTTGAAAGCTAACACAAAATCTTTTTCATAAAAGGAGGTGTATGAGAATGTTTGCATGATTGACGGAATTCAGTTATATCAGGCTCCAGAACAAGGACTGCCAACATCAGTGGATCATTGGATCGTTCTAGACACTGATGCACTGCTTGAAGGAGACAGGCAGATGAATTACTGGGAATAAAATTTCCCAGTAATTTTAATGACCGTTCCTTCTTTCAGTTCAATTCAAGTCAATCCAATGCAACAGGTTGTATTTAAACACCTATTATTTGTTCATCAAAGAATTGTACAAAATGGTCCCTTTCTTTAAATACCTTTTTGAACAGTTTAGTGGGAAAGTCCATGTCTTGACTGAGGACTGAGGTGGCCCAGGAAAAAGATCCCACATATTCATTTGGAAAAAAAAAAAATCTATTGCAATTGAATACCCCTTAGCTCTATGTCCCTTCAGTTATCCCCACACCAGATGGCTGGAGTGACCCAGGTTTACAGCCCTCGCATGGCCCCCCGATTCCAACTTACCTTCTCCGTGTCCACTCTGGAAGCTTAGGCTGTAGTGTTGGTGAGGTTGTAACTGCCAATGAGTAAGAAAGAGCCAACCTGAGCTTCTTTAATCTCTTCCCAAATGGGCGGAAGGACCGTAGGCTCTCACTGAGGTTCCTGCAGTATCTATAAAAAGAACCGGAAGGACAGAAAGACACACCTATTCCAGTTTCACAGCAACTTTTCTACAGAGATTTCCTTGGTGAGAACAATTCTTTTTCATTCTACTTCTGACCAGAGGCACCTTGGCCTTAGGGAGCGGGTGTAAATCTGAAAGTGGGTATAAATCTAGGAAATATGGCTTCCTCCCAGTGTATTGCAACATATTCAGGGAAGCTACACAAGGCCCTCAGGTCACTTACACCAGGATACCTCGTCCTTCTTCTGATGTATTTCCTAAAAAGCTATCTGGAGACTTTCCCAAATCTTGATTTTGTTTGTTTGTTTGTTTTGAGATGGAGTCTTGCTCTGTCACCCAAGCTGGAGTGCAATGGCGCGATCTCGGTTCACTGCAACCTCTGGCCTCTCGGATTCAAGTAATTCTGCCTCAGCCTCCCGAGTAGCTGGGACGGGTTTCACTATGTTGGCCAGGCTGGTCTCAGACTCCTGACCTTGTGATCCGCCCGCCTCAGCCTCCCAAAGTGTTGGGATTACAGGCATGAGCCACCTTGCCTGGCCCCTACATCTTGATTTTAATTCAAAAGAGCATCCATTCAACGAAGTACAGGTAATGAGGGTTTCACTGGGCCATAAGGAAGGGTGGTTTTGCCTACTACTGGCATTAAAACGGCCAGTGGCAGGCAAAACTGTGAATCAGTCTGTGAATTTATCCCAAGATAAAGAACTGACAATTAAAGGTCACTGGCTGATACTGGAGTACATATTCCTTTTCTCCTATGGTGACACAAAATACAGCACAGCATAGTGTCCAGCCTACACCCACCAACCACGCCCCTGCCACCTCCAATTTACTCCTTGATTCTCTTCCTGAATAGATGTTTTTTTTTTTTTTTTTTTTTTTTTTGAGATGGAGTCTCCCTCTGTCGCCCAGGCTGGAGTGCAGTGGCGCGAACTCGGCTCACTCCGTCTCCTGGGTTCAAGCGATTCTCCTGCCTCAGCCTCCTGAGTAGCTGAGATTACAGGTGCATGCCACCACTCCCAGCTAGTTTTTCATATTTTTGGTAGAAACGGGGCTTTCTATCCCGTTGGCCAGGCTGGTCTCAAACTCCTGACCTCAAGTGATCTGCCTGCCTCTGCCTCCCAAAGGGCTGGGATTACAGGTGTGAGCCACCGCACCCGGCTCCTGAATATATGTATTTCGATAGAGGACTGCTGAACACCCCAAACCAGTGTCTGGTTTCAAGGTGCTTGTGATCTGGCTGTACCTTTCTTACCCACCTGTACTTCCTTCACGTCTCCAGGCTCTATGACTTAGCCCACTTGGTTTTTCCACTGGCTCACAAAAAAAATAAGTTCTCATCTGCTCACCTCTTAGGTGCTGTCGTTGTCTGAAACTGCCTTTTGCTTGATTCACATTTATCCTATTTTTGATCCAAATTCTTTCCCTCCCTGTAGGATTTTGTTCATCTTATCTCCTCTATGACTCTTCCTGCCTTCCCTCATCATTCTAGCCCTCGCTGATCACCTTCCACCAGGAACTCTACAAGACTTGGGGTCTGTTCTGTTCAAAATTACAGAAACCCTATTTTCTGCCTATTAGTTAACTTATGAATACATATTAGATAATAATGAATTGAAATAAATGAATAATAAATAAGAAGTGTCTTGATTCATGTTATTTGAATTAATCTCATCTCCTGATTGGATTTATAGCTGCCTCGGGGTCAGGTTCCACATTTTATGTCCCCATATTACCTGCTCCATGTGGAGAACCTCCTGGGTGATGGATAATTCAATTAATGGAATAATTCTAAAGATAAAATCCAGATCTTTCAGAAGTTCCTTTTTAGCTGTGTGGTTTTTCAACAGATGTGCATTAATGGAAAACATCTGCAAATAAGTCAGAGACTTAACAAACCCTTGACAAAATCATTCTGAAGTGGTGCTCTTTTTTGTTTTGTTGTTTTGTTTTGTTTTGTTTTTTGAGACGGAGTCTCGCTTTCTTGCCCAGGCTGGAGTACAGTAGCCCAACCTGGGCTCACCGCAAGCTCTGCCTCCCGGGTTCACGCCATTCTCCTCCCTCAGCCTCCCAAGTAGCTGAGACTACAGGCGCCCGCCACCACGCCTGGCTAATTTTTTGTATTTTTAGTAGAGATGGGGTTTCACCGTATTAGCCAGAATGGTCTCGATCTCCTGACCTCGTGATCTGCCCGCCTTGGCCTCCCAAAGTGCTGGGATTATGGATGTGAGCCACTGCGCCTGGCTGGTGTTCTATCTTTAGAGATTCCTTAACTTCAAAAAGCCATTTTCTCCTATGAGAGAAGAAAATTCTAGGGATGATAGAATTTTCTTGCATCCAATTACACCTTAAGTTCCCCTTTACCTGCTTTGGGTGTAACAGCAGTCTTTCCAAAGTTGTGAAGGCTAATGCTTACATTAAGGGTAAAGGGATTTTTCTGATGATGAAATATGACTCGAAGAGCATAGTGAGTGGTGAAACTGCTGTCAGCAGAACCGCAGGATGATTTTCCATTTACTTCTTCCAGGAGCACTATTTTGTTGATCCTGCACCTCCCACCCCCTTCCTGCTGTTAGTCATGGTTGTCATTCCTCCTCCTGGTGATGTTTTAGTTTTTGGTCTGCTTGTCTTCTAAGGAGATTCCTCTTGAGTTCCTGATGGCTTGAGGCCAGTGGATTTATGGGTTAATGACCACAAAGCCCTTTAAGCATCTTAGATAAAAGGATGTGTCCCAGGTATTAATTATTGTTATTTTAAAATCTAGCGTTATAGAATTAACCCATCTGCAGCTAGGCCTGAAGGATACGAGGGGCCTTTTTGCCTACACACATCCAAATTACTCACAGCTCATTTCTTTTGGCTTCTATGCTACAAAAACATCAGAACAAACAGCTCGGATATGGCTTTGATTAATCAAAATACACTGATTACAACGAGTCCAATAAAAATGGAAATAAAACAGTCAGGACATGAAATACCTTATGTCAAACACCTATTTATGTTGTTTCCTTCTCACATAAACAGAGCTGGAGGGAATGTTAAAGGTTACCTCGCCTAACCCCTATTAATGATTAATAATAAGCAAGCCAATGGTACATGAGGAATTTAATAATAAGAAAGCAGAGGCCCAGAGATGAAGGGATGTGCTTACCATATGCAATGTTGAAGATGACAGCCAAGGTTTGTTGTCTCCTGGCCATATTCTTGCTGTTGTACCAGGCAGCCTTTCCTGACTCTTCCCACCTTATAAGGACTGGCTTTTAGGGAGACCTGAGCCCTTAAGCATGGTTTGATCAGAACAATAACAACAACAAAAAGAATATGAAAGTGCATCACATATTCTTCATCCTGCAGCTATCATGACTGGTCATGTGAGGGCAGGCTGTGTGGGACAGAATGCATCCGTCAGGAGTGGCCCATTTGTTCTTTTGCTCACTGGCATCTCCAGAGATGGCTTCACGAGGGTGTAACCAGTGCAGTTGTATGGTGAACCCCATTCAGAAGGGCCCTGGGCTTGGAATTTGATACTCCGTGGTTGCCATATTGAAATTGTTAATACTTGCATCTTCTTTTTTTTTTTTTTTTCAGACGGAGTCTCCCTCTGTCGCCCAGGCTGGAGTGCAGTGGCCGGATCTCAGCTCACTGCAAGCTCTGCCTCCCGGGTTCACGTCATTCTCCTGCCTCAGCCTCCCGAGTAGCTGGGACTACAGGTGCCTGCCACCTCGCCCAGCTAATTTTTTTTTGTATTTTTTGTAGAGACGGGGTTTCACCATGTTAGCCAGGATGGTCTCGATCTCCTGACCTTGTGATCCGCCCGTCTCGGCCTCCCAATACTTGCATCTTTGAATTTGTGTTTGGTAAGTGAAGTGGGGCAGGACACAGAAGCATGCGCTGAGGCTTGAGTCTTGACTCACAACCCACCCTGCCTTCCATGGCCTCCCCTCCTTCCTGAGACAGGTTCTTGGCCACCCACTCTATGCCACCATGTGGTGTCCTGGGTTGCCCGGCTAGCCTCCCCATTTCTGTGTCTGCTCTGTGACTACTGCCGCCCCTCACCTGGGCTCACCTGTCTGCCATGGGTTGGGACGGTGGGCCCTTAGAAAGGGGGAATTGACTTGTTCATTTCCAAGCAGGGCTGCATATTTTTTCTTTCTTTCTTTCTCTCTTTCTTTTCTTTCTTTCTCTTTCTCTTTCTTTCTTTGTTTCTTTCTTTCTTCTTTCTTTTTTCTCTTTCTTTCTCCTTTCCCTTTCTTTCTTTTTCTTTTTCTTTCTTTCTTTTCTTCTTTCTTTTTGCTTTCTTTTTTCTTTCTCCTTCCTTCCTCCCTTCCTCCCTTCCTTCCTTCTTTCCTTCCTTCCTTCCTTCCTTCCTTCCTTCCTTCCTTCCTTCCTTCCTTCCTTCCTTCCTTCCTTCCTTCCTTCTTTCCTTCCTTCCTTCTTTCTTCCTTTCTTCCTTTCTCTTTCTTTTTTCTTTCCTTTCTTTTTTTCTTGAGATGGAGTCTAGTTCTGTTTCCCAGGCTGGAATGCAGTGGCATGATCTCAGCTCACTGCAACCTCTGTCTCCTGAGTTCAAGCGATTCTCATACCTCAGTCTCCTGAGTAGCTGGGATTACGGGCATGAGCCACCACACCCAGCTAATTTTTGTATTTTTAGTAGAGATGGCGTTTCACCATGTTGGCTAGGCTGGTCTTGAACTCCTGACCTCAAGTACTCCACCCACCTTGGCCTCCCAAAGTGCTGGGATTACAGGTGTGAACCATGGACCCAGCCTGGGCCGCATATTTTTGTTTTGCATTTGGCTCCAGAAACTATATAGCTGACCCTGGGCATCTTATTTGGTTTTCTGTTATTTGATGCCTAGTTTGATCAATTTTATATTAGGACGTGAACATTGTACAGTTTAATTTTATATTGATATAATGTTGAATTAGTTGTGAAGTGCCATAGCAATTGATCAGCAAATTGTTAAGACTCTCAACTGAGTATCACTTAAGAATGTCAGGATATCTTTTGGAATGGAAGTTATTCTACTTTTTTTTTTTTTTTCAGTTTGTAGCTATTATAACACTTTAGTTGAACTAGTATACATTCTCTTATACAGAGCTGCTTTAAAGAAGAAAGCAGATGATATAAAAATATAGAGGTACATTCAAGTTCAGCTTATTGACACCTTCACTATTACAGAATAATAAGAGGCAATGTTTTTTATGTAATTACAGTCTGATACAGATTCTGTGATTCAATTAAATCACAACACTGATGCTGCAAATTGCCAACACTTTTAGTCAGACCAGATGTAACTGACAAGACAATTTTATGAAGAATTTGTTGTGCATCTGGAGGTATAAATCTGACAATAC